TCCCAAGGGATCCATCTGCCAGGTAAACACAGTAAATTGGAAGGTGAATGCACATTTCAGCCACACAGTGGAACCCACCTGTCACTTGTGAACTAGCACATTTTGCTTCGGGGTTTCTAAATGAAATTCTGAAATACACATATTAGTGCTGAAAGTTTAGCAAGATTATAGTGGTCTTTCCCTGTGGAAAGGCTTTATGACCTTGTAAAGCAAACTTGGTAGGGGAGACACACTTAATAGTTATGTTAGATATTTTCTGGTTCATCAGGAAAGAAACTGACTGAATAAAGCTGGGGGGAGGGGAGGGTGGAGATGATTAAAATGTTTACAATTTATGTTAGGGCTTTAACATGCAGACTGAAACAAAAGTCGAACACAACCACCTAACAAGGTTAAGACTTATATATTCTATTCAGCGGATGAGGCCAAAGCGTGAAGCACTTGCGATCCCACAGTCACAACGTGGGTTCTCACCCAAGCCATCACAATGGTGCACCATGAATGGTCATGGGGGGAGTTCCAAACTGCTGTAACTAAAGAAGACTGGATCTTCACATGGAACTTACGTTAAAAATTTAGGTGCTTGAAAGCAGTCTCTACAATAGCATCACTGTTACTTGCCTGCATTTCTGTTTTCTTGGATGAGACGGAAATGGTGGAGTTACAAGTAGACTACAGAGAATCATGACTACTGAGAATTACCTATAAATTTATAGTACGTGGGCTTCCCTGGTGGCACAGTGGTTAAGAATCTGCCTGACAATGCAGGGACATGGGTTCGAGCCCTGGTCCGGGAAGATCCCACATGCCGCGGAGCAACTAAGCCCGTGTGCCACAACTACTGAGCCTGCGCTTTAGAGCTCGCGAGCCACAACTACTGAGCCCACGTGCCACAACTACTGAAGCCCGGGAGCCTAGAGCCCATGCTCTGCAACAAGAGAAGCCACCGCAATGAGAAGCCCATGCACCGCAACGAAGAGTAGCCCCTGCTCGCCACAACTAGAGAAAGCCCGTGCACAGCAACGAAGGCCCAACACAGCCCAAAATAAAATAAATAAAAATTTGTTGTACATGTGGGAGAAGGCCTTCCAAACAAGGATGCATAAAGAACATCGTGAACCACTAGTCCAGGAGCCTAGGAATGAAATGTCCACTCTTAGCAATTCCCCAACTCTTGAACAACCCCAGAGGGAAGCAGGGAAGGGATTACTCTTTTATCCCTTCAGATGACTGTCTGCTCACATATCCCTACAGGATGAGTTCCTAGAAGGAAGCGAGCCACCTTGAGGACAGCTTGTATAGGTGGCTTGTGACACCATTCCATTGCACTGCACCCCTCCCAAGTCCTCAGATACATGAGATAATTACTTGATTCATCTTAGGGCTGAAATTAGTCTCCTGTTGGGTAGCAACAGCCAGACTTCTCCTCCATAGACCTTCTGACAACAGATTCAGGTCCTTTGGTCTTCAGGAAAAATGAGGCCTGTCTGAGGACAGGAGAAACTGCAGTCTCAGGGCAAGCTAGAAACCCCTAAGCCAGGACCCAGGAGTCAAAAGAAACCCACAATCAAACCAAGAAGGCTTGTCTCCAGCTCCCCATCTCATGTCATGGGAGACCCAGCCCGCTCCCACCTTCAATACTGCCAAGCAGCACTGAGATGAGGTATGAGTCCTTGATAACAAACACACCCAAGGAAGAAATTCTTTTTTTTCTTTTTTTTTTTTTTTGTGGTACGCGGGCCTATCACTGTTGTGGCCTCTCCCATTGCAGAGCACAGGCTCCAGACGCACAGGCTCAGCGGCCACGGCTCATGGGCCCAGCCGCCCCGCGGTATGTGGGATCTTCCCGGACCGGGGCACGAACCCGTGTCCCCTGCATCGGCAGGCGGACTCTCAACCACTGCGCCACCAGGTAAGCCCAAGGAAGAAATTCTTAACACCCACGGGCAGGAGACAAATGGGCCTGAAGCAACCAAAAGGGAGAAAAAAAGCCAGAAGTACAATAAAGAACTCCTAAATCCCACAGTTCATTGAGAATCTTGCTCTCCTCATCTTCCCCACCTGAGGGCTACTCTAGAATAGGGAAGATGACCTGGCACTCTGCTGAGCCCTAGACAGCTTCTGTAGAAGGGAGGAGGGTTTCTAGAGCAAGGCCATGCTGCCCAGAGCGTGAACTGTGTTGGCCAACTGAGTGGCCCTCAACTGCTGAGGCCATTGCAGAAACTGGCCAGGAAACAGGAGTGCTATCTTGACACAACAGGATGCAACAAGACCGATGCTGAAGAAACTATGCCACAGCCCGTGAGGGCAGCGCATGTGACCCATGGCCATGGTTACTGCATGAAGCTGGGGCTGGCCCTTCTTACTGCCAAGAGGAACACCAAAAACATCACACGTGATTCTATTAACTTTGTAAAGTGATGAATCAACTTGAAAACTGACAGGCTCCATTCAGCTAGCAAAACACTTCATTTTTAGGCAAGAAATCAGCTGGATGAACTTTGGTTTGAGTCCACGTTCAGCAATTAAAAAAATGGGGGGAGGTAAAAACGTGTTATGTGATTCTACTATAGGCTTTCTGGTTGGGATATAACAGACTCTCAAAGTCAAGTCAGTAGAGTCCTTGGGGAGAGCAGACACAGAGATAAATGACTCTACAGCACTCTACTTGCTCTCTATTGATGGTGGGTCGTTACATTAAAGCTTCTGTGTATAGTGTCAAAAGGTCACAGCTGGGCCTCCCTGGTGGCGCAGTGGTTGAGTCCGCCTGCCGATGCAGGGAACATGGGTTCGTGCCCCGGTCCGGGAAGATCCCACATGCCGCGGAGCGGCTGGGCCCGTGAGCCATGGCCGCTGAGCCTGCACGTCCGGAGCCTGTGCTCTGCAACGGGAGAGGCCACAACAGTGAGAGGCCCGCGTACCACAAAAAAAAAAAAAAAAAAAAAAAAAAAAAGGTCACACCTAAGAGGTTTCTAGAGGAGTTAGGGAAGCTGAAGTTCATTGAGGGTGAAATGATTCTCCCAACATACCCTTTCACTAAGACAAAAGCAGCAAGATTTTGCCCAGACTCAGGCCTCAACCCTTCATTTTATTTACACTTAAGACCAAAGCCTCACTTTTTAAACAGTAAATCTCCCTGGAAATCAGTAAATAAGATTAATTAAGGATATAAGAAATATCCTGCCAGCAACAAAATCAGCTCTGCCCAAGAAGATTTCTGAGTATCCCCAGGTGGTAACTAGAAACTCTCTTTTCAAAAAAACAAGCAACCATTTAATTTGTGAGCACCAAGTAACAGTGCCTCAGGTATTGAAAATAGTTGGAGAAAGGAGATACTAGACTTAAAGGTGTTTTCTGTATAAGAAAAGCTTCCCCCATAAAGTGTTGAGACCTATTTTAACCATTTTTTCACAGAGAAATGTCTCAGATACATTCCACACTATTTAGGGTTATGAAACAGATTTAATGTTATAAAATGATACCCTTCCTGACAGCAAGATATTATGAACACTGCAATAACTGAAGTATGCAAATTACGTGCCTACCTGAAATAGTACATATAACACTTTTGTGCATGTGAGTCTACGTGTTTTACTGGGGAAAGGGCCCTATCTAAATTCTCAAAGGGACCCAAGAAAGGGTCTAAAACTGACTGAACCAAGATCGGAAGTAGCCTCTGCCCCAGACCCATTGGTCCCCAGTGCTGTGATGTTCTAGGCAATGTTTTCCTTTTTGCTTCTCATGGTCTTTCTGTTTTCAGCTGTCACTTCTCACCCGCACTACTCACACCATTTTTGTGGTTTCTGTCTCCCTTCTCCCCTCTAGCTGCTTTTCTTCCTCTCTTCTCACTCACATTTCTGCCAGTGCTCCTTTACTTCTATTGTGAGAATAGGTATCACTGGATTTTAAAAAAAAAGGTGATCTGATCAGCAGACCAGTCACGTGTCTTCTAAATCGCAGTACTTGTGGTTGTTTTCATTTCTGCTCAATACCTGAGCCCTTTCCAGTTACCTTTGAGTTTGTGGGGTTTGTAGGTATCTTTGGGTTTGTGAAGATGCCAGATGTCTGACTGCTGGGGACATTACTGGAGCAAGCTTCTTGTAGATTTCAGCAAGCTGAACATGGACTTGAGACAGCAACAAACACTCATTCCCCCCCATCAACCTACGATCTACAGACTACTTTAAGAAACTGGAGGCACTTTGTCTCCTTCCCAGCTTATAGGAGCATGTGAAGTATCTGTATCCCCAGTCTAAGCTGGGATTTACAAGAAATATTTAGAGCTTGCTCAGCATGGCACTTTCAATCATGTTCTATAAATGGTATGCTGGTAAATGAGCCGTAAAGAAACAAGAAAATGTCACTGCTTCTCCTTAATTGGTAGATTATAGCACCGTGTCAAATGGAAAGAAGGGAGATGAGGGAGGCAGGGTAATCTCTGACTGCTGGGGAGCCAGACATGCCAGGTGGGACAGAACCACTAAGAACCCTGGTAACTGCCGGGCACTGGGACAAGGATGAAGTTGCAGAGCTGCTTTGTCCCACCACAGAAGACAAGATGCTGGCTCTTGAAATGCCTAACCACACTGCCTCCATTTCTTACCTGTCACGGCGGCTGTCTTATAGTCTGCGGGGAAGGAGTTGGTTAGCTTTTTACATAACTAAAAATAACAGTGCTGTGGAGGAGAGAGATATTCCCAAGAAGAGCTAGAAGTGGCAGACCTCAGATAGTATAAAAATAATTGAATTCAAAAATGTATAAACATAAAGCATGCACAGAAAGGTCAGCTCTCCAAAAGTTGAAACAGATGAAACGTATAAACAGAAAAAGTAGTCACATATATCCAAAAGGCAAGTAATAAGATCAGCAAGTAGTTGAAAAAAATGGCTGAGAAAAGCCATAAACCCCTCAGTTCTCCTGTCTCTGCACCACTGTGATGTGGCTATCCACAGCTATCCACACCTGTGATCCAGAAGGATATGCCTGTCCAATTTCTTACCTCACCGCGGTCGCTGGATGGGATGTGTGAAGGCCTTGCTTCTTCATTGAGTGGCTCAATCACTGTCACCTCTGCAAATTCCTCCACGGATCCTTGAAACTCAGGTAAGGACCTTCGTCCGTAACGCTTCCCACCTCTAACATATTTGGGCTGAGCTTCGAGAGTGCAGTCTGGGCAAGGAGACAAGAGTTGAGGCCACATTACATGACAATCTCAGCCCCTATCTGACACACAGCCTTCGGACACAGCCTCTTATACCAGCCCCAAAATAAACCACCACCGTTTGCCAGTTGCGGTGGATGTGGGCGTATATGAGCCAGTAAGTCAGATGCAGAGCACAGCTTCTAATTCCGAATGATTTATAGCACCCCGAGTATATCTCAGCATGTGGTGGGAGAGATGAGGAGCCAGCAGTGAGGGATTTGTTTAAAACTAGGGAATTAAGATCAGGACAAAGCAAGCAGTCATATGTGTTGTTCTGTTTATTAAGCTCTGTTTTGCAGACAGAGGGAACAGGAGAGGGAGGGATCATACTACCAGAGACACGTTGGAAAATGATGATAAAAAGAACACCTTATCAGCACTGTAAAGTTAGCATTCACACCAATTAGTCTGGAACACACCCCTCTAGTACCTTAGTGAGTCCTTTGTTAACCATCTCACTTTCTGATCCATCAGACAAGCAGGAAGACAGAACAAAGAAACTGACACAGTGGATCCTAATCAATTAATGACAGCTCACTGTTCATATGAAACTTGTCACCAAGATCTCATTATAAAATTAAAAGCTGTGGAATAAAATAGCAAACGCAAAACTGCATTAAGAAAATAATATATTATGTTCTTTTCTCTTCATGAGCTTCGTGCTGTACAAAATAAAAGGAATGTGTATAAGGGGAAAGTCATCTCTTGACCCTGAAGGACTTCAGCATTCAGCAGAACATGTCTCAGGTTCAGCCTTCACCACCACCACCACCACCACCATCACC